CCTGCATTCTGCAATGAGCGAGAAGAGTTCTTGCCCTCGAGGTACCTGCAGAGGGCTACCCTGCCTCCCCTCAGCCTCCCCTTCTTGAGGCTGGACATGCCCAGTTCCCTCAGCCCCTCCTCGCAGGGCGGTCTTTCCAAACCCTGGATCACCCTTGCTGCCTCCCCTGCAGCCTTTTCTAGAAAGATGCAAGACCAGTTCTGACCCATTTGCATTGGCTGCCTCTGGGCCCAGCTCAAGGTGTGCACTGGAACCCTTCCAGGATCGGGACAATACCTGATGGAATGCCTCTCTCCATCTCCACCTGCCTGCCCCGACACCACCACCTGCAGCTGGGGCCTTTCTCTGCCTGCCTCCTCCAAGGGAAGCCTGGAAAGAGGCAACAAGGAAGAGAGCCCTGTGGCTCCCTAATTTTGGGATGATCTCCCTGCTGAAGCCTGCATGGAGCCAACACGACCGTCGTTTTGGCATCAGGTTAAAACTGCCCTCCATTCCCAGCATGTTGTGGCACAGGACAGGGCAAGTCAGCCGTTTGAGCAGGTCTGGTTTTTACTGAAATAGTTTTCCATGTTCAAAGTGTTTAGGGTTCATATATTCAAATTTTACACTGAGTTTCAGTACATCTGCATTTTTACTGAATCCGTTTCCCATACTGCACTTTGATAATTTACCGTGAACCACCAGACCGCGTCGGCTATCGTGCAGTACAGAAATAAAATTAGTAACAATAATAGTGACGACTTGCACCATCCGCAATGAGCTGCAAAGCACACCGTGCGGATGCGCATTCCCTTTCCACCCCTGCTGTTCCACACGAGGCGAAAGCGAAAGCGACCAAGTGAGGACCAGCCTGCGCTGTCTTTTGCCCACTCCCTGAAAACGGCCCTAAGTTGAAACAAACCCACGGATCACACCGCAGCTGCACTAAACTACAATTTAGGTGAGCACCTTATCCGGGCCATTTGAGTGGGGAAAGCACATTCCGGTTTGCCTGTTTAGGAGGCACCAATCCAGTGCCACCATCACACGCTGCGTCTTCAACCCTACCGAAGCCCTTGCAGACACACAATTGCGTGGTAGACAACTCGGACGATTCTTGCTAACAGAGCAGCTCTTTGTAGTGGCACATTCTGGAAATCGAGGATAAAAATACAGCTTCTCCCAGGCTGTGCTGCTCTCCTATTTCATCACAGTGTCTCCCAGGCAGACTCCCGTCTCTCCCAGAGCTGCTGCAAAGGAAGCAGTGAGCAGGCTCAGAATGCAGGCCGACCTTGCCCGGTGCCAGGGACACGTGAACCCCAGGCCCAGCTCCCACTCTGTGTGCGGACTGAGCTGGTGGCCCAGCTGAAGCAGGGTGAAGGGCAGGCGCACCTGCAGCTCAGTCAGGCTAGGGAGGACGGTCGCGGCTAAATAACGGCAAACTAGTGAAGGGATGGAACCCGTGCGCTCTCCTCGCCCTCCGCAGAGGGCCCTTGCACCATGTTGAGTAAGGGGATTTCTGGCAACTAAGAAATTACTTAGTAATTACACAGCCAGCCTTGCCAAAAGCAGGTGTGCCCCCAAGGTATACGGACGCCAGCAGTTCTGCAGAGAAACACCACGTGCACTGTGGGAAAGGATCCCGCAGGGCAAACCAACCCATAATAGACGGGCGGAAGACGATTCTGGGGAGCCCACCCTAATACCAACAAACCAAATGCTGCAGTTAACATAGGACAGGTGTGGGATCGTCCCACGAGGAGCACAAGGCAGAACTTTCCTGAACTCGTTTGAATGTCACACCGTGCCTTTGAAGACCAACCAGCTCTTCTATTTGGGGAACTTGCGATGACTTTGAATTTTAGCACTGGGCATTATTTATAGCAACCTTTGCTGGGGTTCTGAAGTCATCTGTCCTCTGCTCAGCAATTTACTTTTCAAGCAGGAGCTAGACCATGGCTAAAAATAGCACTGTCCTAAAGGCACGGTGCCGTTATTTGGAAGATCTCCCCACACAGCAAAAGCACACCTGGTCACGGCAGCCGATCAATAGGCCACAGCTGCGGAACTCAGCTGCCTGCGGAGTGAGGGGGGCCCTTCTGATGTTTTGCCCAACTTGTAAAAAGGTGCAGATCTGTCAAGACCTGTTTGAGTACAAAGCACAAAACCTGAAGGCAGCAGAATACAAAAGAAAAAGTGTTTTCTGACCCCGCCTGCTAGAAGATAAATATCCAAAAGCTCCACTGGAACTTTTGGTGAGTGCGGCCCGATATCTCAGCTGCATACCTTTCAAGGAAGTTCTTCCGTGGTTGGTAGGGAAACAGTACATTTTTCCTAGAACTGGGGTAACATTAAGACTACAAGCTAGCGCCATCTAAATCTCACACTCCAAATGTGTGTCAGAGATTCAGATAAATTCAGTTACTAGTTCACACACCCAGAAACAGCAAGTGAGCTGCTTGCAGACTAGAAATGGAGCTGAGGAGATGCAAATGATGTACAAAGCTTCCACACTTAAGTCACCAGGGAGGTTTTCTGATTCGCCACAAGAGACCACGTGCAGCTGTTCCCAAGCCTAAGCTGAAACTGGACTATGATTACAATGACAAAACATTGAACATTTCTCCACTGATAAAGCCAGTTCTCTGTTCAGCAACTGCCAGCTATAAATGGAACCTAAACTTGAGTGGACAAAAATAAACAAGCCAGCAATTTGTGTATTTATATAAAGTGGACTGCTGCTGATGAAAGCTTTTGTCGCAAGAAATCCATCTGCTTTTGAGGTGTCCTGAGACTCTACAACAGGTTAAGAGCCACTTTGCTCATTATTTACATTTATATCTAAAAATACCGCGTGAAGACAGAGTATCAACAAGACGCAACCAGCTGGACCTCCGTGTTGAGCATATGCCCTGTGGAAAGCCCACGCTTTACTGTGTATGATATAGCTCCAAAATGGCTGCCTCCCGACATTGGTAAGATATCCCACCCTGTAGAAAACTATGCATAGCAGGGGTGCTAAACGCTTTCCTATTCTGGAGCTTCTGCTGCGGGAGACGCATTCCAGTAGTAGGCAGGGTCAAAGGCAAAGGGGCGGGACCAAAATACAAAAAAATAAACCTACCAGAATACTTTTACTTGACATTCTTACTGCCAGTAACTAAATCTTAAGTCTTTCAACTTTTTAGGATGGAGGAAAAGCTCCACAGAAAATCCAGGAAATCGCCAAACCATCAATGGCTGGGAGAGTGCAGCAGCCCGTGAAAAGACGGTGCGCTAACCATGAGCTTGAGGCTCAAGACTCACATCTTTTCAAATACATGAAACCAGAGAAAAATCCTAAGCAACTTACCTCAAGCAGAGGAAATCTAGGAAAGTGATCAATTTGAAAGAAATGTAGGCAAGAAAATGCACCTCAAGAAGAATGACTGAAAATCCACAAACATGGAAACCCATTCATGGAATCACAGAAGCTGTTGCAGGTTGCCCATTCACACTGCCCCACTGACTCATCCACGCTGCTCTGTAATGCAATCGCTCCAAACCCTGGCATCATGATGTGGCAAGGTCACATGGACCCGCAAACACACCACTTGAGCCCAGAGAACATCTAATACATACAGCTGAACTGCTCAGCAAGTGCTTACACTGCAAAGTATTGTAAAGTAAAGCTAAACAGTCCGACTGAGAACCTAAACAAAATGAGAGTCAAGTGCCGTACAACACAGTTGTGCAGTTGTGCTAATTATCCAATTTTCCTATCCTACAGGCTGTTCAAAGCATGAGTCAGTTATGACCACAGTCGGAGCTGGCAACTGCCTCCTGACCTCTTCCACCTTAGGAAACGTTTCTGGATTATCCACTGTGATGTGTGAACCCAGAGCTCCGGTTCTTGAGCAGAAACAACTCAGGGGTTGAGCCGAACAAACCATGGGTTAGACCTCAAGCTGTCTTGCAAAGCAGAAGCAGTTGAGCTGCTGGGAGCCTTCATGCTCGCTTGTTCGCATGGTCTAGAAAACCTAGGAGCTGCTCCCTGTGAAGCTGGACATGTCAGTCTCCACAACATAATGACGCAACCAGCAGATATAGCCGGGAGTCCCCAACACACTGATAGCACTGGCTGTGAGGAATTCCTCCACTGATCAAGGAACACTGCCGTTCAGCCCCCGCTTGCTTGTACACTGAGATCATGGGAAAAATCTGTTCCAATAATATGGAAGCTGGGGCATTCAGAACAATTTTGGGGAAGACTGGTTCAACTCTACTGAATATGATATTTCATATCGACTCAGAGCTGGATGTAACTACGGTCAAAACCTATCAAGAATGTCCAATCCCTGGAGGGGACTTGGCCAGTGTCTCCAGTAGCAGCGAGGAGGGACGACGGCCAATGGGTGCTCCTTTCAGATCAAAGATGCTCGCATCTCTCTGCCTTAAGTGCAGCAGAAAGTTCATCAGGCCGGGAGTTCACGTCCTCCCAACAAAGAACTTACCACTCCCCTACAGCAGCAGGAAGGGCTGAGAGCAGGCAGCCGAGATCGGGCCGGGCCGGGCCGGCCCGGCCGCACCTGCCCAACGCGGCCTTGCCAGGCATCGGGCTAAGCCAGGCCCAGGCGCGGGCTGCCCCGAGACGAGGCGGCCGCGGTCCCCGGCGAACCGCCACACCCATCGTCCCGCTCCCAGGCAGGGTGGCCTCGCATGCCGCGGAGCAGCCGCTCGCCTCCGGGGCCCGGCCGCCTCCTCGCGGGGGATCGCTCCGCGTTCCGTCCTGCGCGCAGCCCGGGCCCGAAAGCGAGGGCGCCTCCTGGGGGCAGCCCGGGACCCCCCTCTCCGGCCGCCGGTGCGGCGCCCGTGGTGTTGCGCCCACTTCCGCGACCCCAGGGGACGCGGGCCGGGCGGGGGCCGGGGCATTCCAAGGAGCGGGCGCGGCGGGCGGAGGAGCGGCGCCGGGCCGGGCCGGGCCCGGGGGTCCCGCGTCCTCCGCCCGAGGGGCAGGCGGGCGGGGCGGCCCCGCGGCTCACCGATGGTGGAGATGAAGGTGGTGTTGAAGGCATCGTCGGAGAAGCGGAAGAGCACGCAGGTCTTGCCCACGCCCGAGTCGCCGATCAGCAGCAGCTTGAAGAG